TTTTTTCTCTCAAACTTCGAATTTGGTTCGTCTGCCACCGGTATCAACATAGTTTTTTTGTTTTTTTTCATTTAGTTTTAATATTTGGTTAACGAACTTCAAAATCCTAAATGCCTGACTTTACCGCGCATTGACCCCTATTCCTTTTTCCAGTTTAAACATATTGCTGATTTATTTGCTTACTTTCCTTCTTATGAGACTTGCACTAAGTAATTAGTAATTACTTTTACCCACGTTTCCCAATCAGTGATGTGTATTGAAAAATTAGTTCTCCACCCAATGACGGTTATCTATGAAATCAATCTCCGACAACTGATAGTTTCTTTATGCTCCAGGGAGCAGTCCTGTCAACAGGTCTGAGATAAATGTAAGGCATAATTAATTAGAAAAATGACCCAATAACAAGGGTGAAACAAAATAAGTGAAAGGCTGTAGTTACTCAGTTACCCTAAGAAACATTAATTTGTGATTAAATAGTTTCATATCTATATATACGTATAGATAACAGCGTTGACATCATTTTTGTAGCAATAGTAAAGGCCCAGCATAAGTAAAGTGTTTGTCAAATTTTATTAATGGCAAACAAATATCTGAACGTTTTTGACACTGCTACATTATGTTTGTTAGCTATTTGGGTTGTACTAACAGTACGGTCTCTTTAGAAACACCTCCATGTTACCTTTTCAATACAATTCTGTCTCAAGATTTTTGGTGTCAGTTTAACAGTAATCTCGCATCTGAAACTTCTGTGTGTTAACTTATTAGTAGACTCTCGTCTTCATCACCTCCGTTTTAGTTTAACAATACACTCACATCTGGAACTACTTCGTGTTGGTTTAACAGTAAACTCATATCTGGAATTGTCCTATATTAGTTTAACAATACACTATACACTGTTGTGGAACTACTCCATGTTAGTTTAACAATACACTCACATATGGAACTACTTCGTGTTGGTTTAACAGTAAACTCATATCTGGAATTGTCCTATATTACTTTAACAATACACTCACATCAGTAACTACTCTGTGTTAGTTTAAAAATACACCATGCATACCCATACATACTATCTGGAACTAATTCGCGTTAGCTTAATAATAATATACTCACATCTGGAATTACTCCGTACTGGGTTTTAATAGTTTCATATTTGGATCTTCTCTGTAATGGCTTCACAATTCAATCGCTCTTGTAAAACTTCGCGACTACTTCAAGAAGACGATTAAACTTGCAACATTTATTGTTAGCTTAAACATACACTTACACCAAAAACTCAAATCCACTGTAGGGATACCTTCTGTGAACTTCTGCTATTGACTTGGTAACACACTTAAGATCTTAACTCTTAGAAGTTATTTTTCATAATAAGCATAATTTTGAGACTCTTCTGCGTGTGTTTTTTCAAAATGCATTCGCGACTGTGACTCTATTGCATGTTAACTTTCCAGTACATCAAGGTGTGTGATTCACTCGTTTTGACATGTAAGTTACTTTTATGTCTACGTGGTGAATACAGATATATTTTCATCATTTTCATAACAACAAATTAATTGCTAAACTTGCTTCATTGCGTTGTGACCTTCACCTATTAGGCAGAATAGTTTCTTTCACACATAACCTTAACACTACTTTCCATTGCAAGAATCTTGAATAAACTGTAGTGTGTTACCTTCACTGAGCGCGGAATTACGTATAATTGATTTATAATTAGTTGTTATAAAGTTTGCACATTCCTTTATGCATATTAGTATCCACCCAGTGGCTGACCCAATATATCCACAATCACAGCAATGAATCATGAACATCTATATTCATGCACTGTGCTAGACATTTTCAAACACAATATCTCATCTTTGAACCTGATAAACTGTTGTAAACTACCATCAAGATCAAATAATAACTATTAAATTAATGTGTAAGTTCTATGAAAAAGTTTATATAATTGTTTTTTTAAATGTTGATATAAATCTTTTCAGTATATTGCAATATTATTGACTGAGATTGTTACAGAAAATTATATTTTAACTGTTTAGGACTACAGACTTAGATACCAATAAAAATGTTATTTTGAAAGGCAAATCATGTAATGTTTTGAAACGTTTTGAAGATAATCATAACTTCTGTCGATTTTATAAGCATACAAATTAATATTACGACCAAAGTTCTTTCAAAAACAAAACAAAATCTGAAATGAAAGATTCAAAGTTTAAATATAAACCTGCAAATGTGTTTTGGGATTGTTCCTCACACCAAAACTTGCAGTTATTCCTGTCTATTGATATATATATATATATATATATATATATAAAGCGTGTTATTGTTCTATTATGAATATTTTGTACCATTATGTTGACTATTAAGATATTTTAAAAACTAATCCATATTTTCAGCATAATGATGCATCTGTTGTCTTTCAATGTTCTGAACGTGTTGATTAGTTCTTGTGGTATAGATTAATAGACTGAAACTAAACACAATGAAGCAAGTTCAGTAATTTATCTTATTGTTGTGTTTACGTTTAAGTCCATGTGTTTTTGTGTTGCCTTGATCATGGACTCGTGTTTTTAATGTGTTATACTGAGAATATACTCAGGTCTGTTACCACCGAAGGTTTTTTTCTTAACAATAAAATAATATTATTGTTTTTTTCCTGTGACGACTTTTCAATCCTTTCACATCTATGACAACAATGCACTCTCATGTATGTAGCTTTTTTTCTGTTATATTACAGTAAACTCAAATAACTCTGACAGTGAGATAATGCATGTGACTCATTGCTAATAAAATCTGAAATTGAATCACTTCTGTGATTCTCCGTCGATTATTTGAAAATATATTAGCGTAATTACCGTTCGTTCTAAAAATGATTTAAATGGCAATATGCTTTCCTCTGGCTCTCCACTGGACAGAAATTTCATATCTTTAACGCTATGGAAGACCCTTGACAATAATTCCATGTCTGCAACGCTATAAAAAACCTAGATATGTCCGTGGCATTGTTGAAGAACCTTGACAATAACCTCATGACTGCAGGAGATACCACTGAAGAAGCTAGACAATAACCTCGTGCCTATGACACTATCAGAAAAGCTAGACAATAGTCTTATATCTTTGTTACAGCAGAGGACGCTCGACAACAATTTCATATGTGTGAATCTACGATGAAAATGAATATAAATCTCGTATCTTTGACACTATAAAAGAAACTTGGAATTAATCTCAAGTTTATGAAACGGTCAATTTGTTGACAATATTCTTATAATACTGACACTACTACCGATTCTTGTCAGCAAAGTCATAGAGCATGACAATGACATTTTGTGTATGACAATCTGAAAGTGGCTGTAAAATAATTTTACATCTCTTACGCTATCAAAGAAGCGTGACAATAATCTTACGTCGCTGGCAAAATTGATAAAAGTTTGGTATAATGTCCATAAATCCTATCATAGATCCACTGAAATTATAAACTAATAGTACTTCATAGACTAACTGAGCGTCATCATCTTCGAGCTGGACACAAAGAAACATTGAACCATATCTATTCACTATGATTTTCACCCTAAAGCATTAGACACATCTGGAAGTGAGTCGAAACTAATGGTACTGCTGACTTCAATACCGTAAAACACAAGCAAAGAAATTTGTTTATGAGCTACGTTTCAGATGAATACTTTTTTTGCCCAAAAGTTAAGCCTAACGAAAGAGGTTCACCTTAATCTTGGCGAAAAGTATTAAATATATTTCTTCTTAAAGACTTGAATGCGGTAAATCATTATTATAAATTTCCTGTTTGGCCCTACTACTGTGCTATACCTTGAAATATTTTTTCTTTGTATCAAATTTTAATGTGACACTTCTCCAAACTGAAGTCTATGCCAACTGATCAATCTGCCACTTTTATTGAAAAAAAAAAAACAACTGAAAATACCCCCACGTCTGTGAAATTGTTTGGAAAACTGAAAATGTTCGTAGGTTATTGTGCTATTACATGTAGATAACAACATCATGTTTGTAAGATTACGGAAGAACCTTGACAACAATTCCATGTCTATGACACTGTGAGAAAAACTTGACAATATTCTTGTCTTGAAAAGAACGACATTAACTGAGATTACGGAAGAAGCCTGGTAATATCCCCGTATCTCTGATATTACCAAAAAATAACAACAAAAGCTTAACAATATTCTAATGCCCGTGGCACTATAACAACATTTAACAACAGTTTTGCATGTGTGATATTCTCGAATAAACCTGACGATATATACATTAGGTCGTCAAAAAATTAATGTCGCTTTTTTTAGATGAAAAAATTCGAACAACGTTTCAAAACAAAATATTTATTAAATGAAATAGTCTTCTATTCTTAACGATGATGCTTTTCCATCTTACAATCAGGTTGTTAATGCCCTGATTAAAGAAATCACTCAGCTTGAAGCAAAAAACATGTCGATGTCCTCTTTAACACCTTCCACATTTGCATATGTTTTCCCATTAAGATGGTGTTGCATCTAACAAAAAAGATGGTAATCTGATGGTGCCATATCTGGAGAATATGGTGGGTGGGGGAGAACTTCCCAACCCAACTCCATACTCGTGTTGCGTCAAATGTGCCACATGTGGACATGCATTGTCGTGGAGAAGAAGAACACCTTTCCAATTGACGGGTGAATGGCATTTCTGATGAAGGGCTTGATTTAAACGTTCCAGTTGCTGACTATATATCTCTGCATTGACAGTTCACTGTGGATTGAGGAGTTCAAAATGAATTAATCCTTTGATGTCCCACCAAATGCAAAGCATCATTTTTTGTGGATGGAGTCCAGGTTTTGGGTTCGGAAGTGGTTTTCTCTAGGACTGAGCCATTGTTTTTGGCATTTAAAATTTGCATAGAGAATCCATTTTTAATCACCTGTGAAAATTGTGTTCAAAACATTTACATAAACTTCTTTGATATTCTTTGTGGCTACAGAGGCATTGTTTCTCTTCTTGTATTGAAACAGCATTATATGCCTCAATGTGTGTCGTCGTGTGCCATCACTATAAGGGATTAGAGTATACTAAACTTTACATGTTATATAGGCTACACTAACACCACATTTAGGCAGTTCGTTTAACTATTATATGGGATGTACATTTTTTGGGGTGGTTAATGAAAGTGTTCCAAAATGCGACATTAATTTCTTGACGACCTAATATTTACCTAACAAAAATGTCAGAAAATAAAGTTTATAAAAGTGCATATTGAATAAAATTCAAGAAATTATAACAAATTACTGAGAAGTAATTCTGAATAAGAACAAGATTACACTGAGATATCAATGTCAATAACATTTTTTACTTCAATTATAAGTTATTATTATGTATTCCATAGGCAACTGATTGTTTGAAATAACTAGATTTACCAGTTGTCTAGTTTATTTGTTTCTTTTTTTCTGTAAATATAAAACCTTTAGCTTTATATAACCTCCAATGTATGGTAAACTGGACCTCAAAACTTTGAAAAGCATTTAATTATTTAGATGTCTTTTTGAAACATAATGGATAATGTTTATAGAAAAAATGATTTAATTAAAGGTTGGTGATAGAATATTTACTTGTGAGAGGTAAACATTGCTATGTTCTAAATGAGTCTACTACACAAGTTGTATAGTAGATAGTTGTGTGTATTAGTAGATGAAATGAAAGTCATTATTTAATAAATAAATTAAATAAAGGTGGTACTTTATAGCAATACTTTTGTTATAGTTAGTTTTTTATTAGTTAAATAACTTATTAAAAGGTACAATTCTCAAATAATCCTCTGCTTAAATTAACAGTTCTGATTTTAATCTATTTTTTTGTCTACAGTGTACTTAAGATGCTTCTTGGACATTTAATAGACAAGTCAGTCACTACAAAGCACCCACAGCTGATGTTGAGGAGGTAAATTGAAATCTTTCTTGTCAGTTTATCCCGAAACTTTGTGTTAAAAAAGAAAACATTTGAAACTACTGGGTATTCAATGTACTACAAATTGAACTTGGGGTCTTGCAAACAATACTGTTAAGATGTTATCCTTAAAAAATGGGAAGTAAAAGTTTCTGAAATCAGTTGTATTAAAATATTTTTTAAAGGTCAGTAAAGAAATGCATTTCTTAATTTTGTAGATGATATAATAAAAGTAAGTATTACATTATTTCATCTAATTTGTTTTTAGGACAGAATCAGTTGTAGAAAAAATGCTCACTAACTGGATGGCATTAAACATGTATGATTATTTAAAGGTAAGTTTGATTCATTTGAAAAAACATATTAAATAAAAATTTGAAATTTAGTTTAAGCTAAAAGACTTGTTGCTTTTTTGTTTTAGTTCACTGAGTTCAAATTTAAATATTTTATGACTTGGCAACATTTTCCTACTTAAACAGTTAAATATACAAATACGTAAACCTGATTTTAAACCAAAGTATTTATCAAAAACGTTATATAAAATAAATATACTTATACAAAGTTTTTTAGAAGTTTATATACTAAATACTACTCTGTGTTGCAGCTATAATTACATTTATTGTATAATTATAAATATACTTTTACAAAGTTTTTAGAAGTTTATATACTAAATACTACTCTGTGTTGCAGCTATAATTACATTTATTGTATAATTATAAATATACTTATACAAAGTTTTTAGAAGTTTATATACTAAATACTACTCTGTGTTGCAGCTATAATTACAATTATTGTATAATTATAAATATACTTATACAAAGTTTTTTAGAAGTTTATATACTAAATACTACTCTGTGTTGCAGCTATAATTAGTCATTTGCCCAATGTAAGAGCTGACAGAAACCTGTTAAATTCTTTATTAATTTTTTTATGCTTTTAGGAAAGAGCAGGCAGAAGTCTATTTTTACTTTTCTGTGCTGTGAAACATCAAGTTGAAAAAGGACCAATTGATGCAGTGACAAATGATGCCCGATATTCTTTGTCAGAGCAGAGACTGTTGAAAGATCACATTGAGTATTCTACAGTGGTAAGAAGCTAAGGCTTTTCTTGTGTGTATGATAAGTGACATTTCATTTCCTTTTTGAAATCTCTCAATTTCGAGAGGAGCTCTTACAGATTGGAGAAAATTTCTAAGAAATTTTAAAAAACATAATTCTGATTTAATGAAAATTTTAATGATTTCAATTTAGGAAAAGAATTAGGAAAGTCTAAATTGAACAAAGTCTATTTAAGATCATAAATTAGAAAAGATGATAAAAATAACTGAGGTAGTGTAATCCAAGTAGCAAATGAAGTCAAGTAAAAAGTAAAGAAAAGCTATACTTTGAAAGACATGTTTGAGGTAACAGTAACAGAAATGTTTTAGTTTTAGAGTCGATAAGAAGTGGCAAATTTTTAATAGTTTTATAAGTAACCTTTCAATAATCAAGGCTAATTTGATTCTTGGATATTTTATGGTAGGAACCATATTTTGACTACATGTTAATATACATTTCTGATTACCCAGCAAGATTTACTTATTTAAATATGAGTTTGGTAGAATGTTAGTGAAGGAAGAATAAGCTAAATAACATTTCCAGGTTGAGTATATATTTATTTATTTGGTCTTACATGAAGAGAGTGTGAATCTGTTTTTCCTAAGTATTTGTGATGAACAATGATTTAATTTTACATAATATAAAAATTCATTGCACATCATATACTAAATTACATAGAAAATGTTGCATAAAATTGGTTTTAAGTTTTCAAAAGAAATATATTGTGATTGTAGTTGATCTGTTTATATTCGTTTTAGCTGTATAAATAATTAAGATTTACTTTGAGTTAAAATTCCTATTCCATATTCATCACTTCAGAGAAGATAGTTTATAAACTAATTAATATTTGTTATTTCAGACAATACATCTGCTTAAAGATGATCAAGATGAAAAAATTCAGACAAAAGTGAATGACTGTGATACCATAGGTCAGGTGAAAGCCAAAATATTGGATGCTTTGTACAAGAATACACCATTCTCTTTACGCCCTTCTGTATATGAAGTTGATTTAGGTAAGGAGTCTGTAAAGTAGTTTTAATTGTACTTTGGTGACTGATATGAAGTGCCTTTTCATTATTAAATTTTTTTCTGTTCTTCAAAGAGTGGAGTAAATTTAAAACTTTTCCTGATATATATAAAAAGGAGTTTATTGTAATAGAATTAAGAAATGTTTCAGTTTTAGTAACTTCCTAAAATTTAAAATTATCATCCATTTGTACATAAACACATTCACAATCACAAAAGAAAATACTTCTGAATACAATGGAATGTTTTAAATATATTTTCACTTCTGAAGCTTGAAAGAATATGTAAATATATAGAAAGTACTAAGTCAGTTGTTTTAAGAAAGATAAACTTATTGGTTAGTTTTACATTTACCTTAGAGTGGAGACATGAACGTGGAGGTCACTTGACTTTGGCTGATGAAGATTTGACTACTAAAACTTCTAGTGGATGGAAGAGGTTGAACACACTGAGACATTATGGAGTGAGAGAATTTGCTGTAATGAGTCTAGTCACCAAACAAAACAGCTTTAGTTCCAATAGTAAGCTTGCTCTCAGATATTCAACACTAACAATGAATACAAGTTTGTGATTATTATGATACTTTGTTTGTGATCACTAGCCATGTTTGTTAGTGTATAGTGCAATATGTTGCTTAAGTATTATGACCTCATTATATGTTCTCTTTTCTGAAATTGTTAAAACTGTTTACTTAATCTGCCTCCATTATGAAGTAAAAGTTAACATGTAACAATTGAATATAATGTTGCATAATACCATTTTAATGGTTATTACTCTAAAGTTATCCAAAACAAAATTTTAAAACTATGTCAATATTTTTATTACTGTGAGCAATATTTCTGGTGATTAATCTCTGAAATTTAAAGTTATTTATGTTTTCAACATTTAAAGAGGTTTGAAAATAGAGCCAAGTCTTGAAGTGAAATGAAAGTTATTGAGTTTTTTTAGATAAGAAAGATGTGATTAATGTTTTGTAGTTTTATGCTACAGGATTGTCATTTTGACATTCGCTCATAATTTAATAGAAAAGCGCAAATATTGTATGCATGTTGATCCTTTTAAATAGCAACTGTTTAGTGTTTGATAGCAGTAGAAGAGATCCTTAAGTAACAGTTTCTGCTTGCTGCTAGGCACAGGAAATGCTTCCTTGAGCTCTGTGACTCCAATAATCAACTCCACAGATGTAGAACAGGGAGTCAGGTACTGGCATCTAGTCAAACCAATAGATGACCATGTAGGTCAGCAGAAAGACCATAGCCATAAAGCCATAAGACCTGAAATTTTCCTCACAAGGTTATTGTCCACAAAGGTATTTCAGTTATTTGATAAATTTTTTGTTTTAAGTTTTACTTGTTTGTATTAATGATGTTTTTGCTATTGAAATTATCTGATAGTTAACCTTTCAAAAATAATATTTCTTCATTAAGTATTATATATTCCTGTTTTACTGGGGAATATATGTTAATAGGCTAGACAAAATTATTTGGTAGGTAAAGTATATTATCATGTATTGCTAATGATATATAAACTGCTGTTTCATGAGTACGGAATGTTAATTTTACTTTTCACATTCTAGCTGCAATTTGTATACAAACTGTGTCGATTGCACAGTCTCTTTTCAAAAGTTCCTTTTATTCTTCACAATAAAACAAAAAGTTAAATTGAAGTGTTGAGTGAGAAATGTATAGATGATTTCATAATAAGTGTAAAGTTAAATATGCAACTTCTGCTCTGAATGTTAAGAAATTATGTTAACATTCATGTTTCTGAATAAAAAAAAGATTATGCAAGAAATTTAAAAAAATCATTTAAATCAATAGCATTAAACTTTATAGAAATATTTTCTCTTATAAGTTAATTCAACTTTACATCCTCATATCAACTCATTAAAAGAGATAAATACACCTTTAGTAACATCACTTTACATCCTCATATCAACTCATTAAAAGAGATAAATACACCTTCAGTAACATCACTTTACATCCTCATAAAAAATTAAAGAGTTGAAGGACAGAGAGATAAAAAAGATTTTTATTCAAGTTGTACTAATTCTTATACTTTCATTATGATAGCATCTATCTCCAAATCCTATTTCTTGTTTTAAAATATAATTTATTTATTTTAACAGAAAGACATTTATATAATTTGCTGCATAAATAATTCTTGATTAATATTAAATGATTTTACATTCGTTAAATGTTATTTTAAACTGGTTAGCATGTACAAAAACGAGTCTTAATTTATCACTCCTTTTAACGTATCACTTGAGGTGTTATTCGAAATATTATGTTACCTAACAGACTCGTTTTTGTACATTGTTCAGTATTACAAGTAAAGTCAAGTCATATAGTTGAATGAAAACTGTATTTAATATTTCACTGTTTCTTCTTTTGAATTTTTGCTTTGTTTCTTGACAGGGAACTGTGCAGAAGTTTGTTGATGATTTTTTGTCAACAGTGTTAACTGTTGGTGATGATTTTCCACCACCAATTAAATGGCTATTTGATTTGCTGGACAACATGGCAGTTCAGCATGGAATAACTGACCCTGATGTTGTTCATGCTTGGAAGAGTAATAGGTAAGATTTTTCTATGAAAGATGCTACACCTCCCAATTAATTTAATCAAGAATCAAATAGTCTTGATCAATTAAGATATTCTTCACTGTTGTACTGACATTGTAGAAAATTATACACTACTCATCTTTAATGGAGTTAGTAAAATCATTGTTTCACTTTGTGTATTTGTTACTAACTTTAATGCAACTGAATTCACAGAACTAGACAGAAAAGTTGAGTTCCAGCTAGAAACCAGTGAATTAAGATAGGAGTCAACATAAACAGAATGGGTGGTTGTATTTTTTAAAATAGTATATTAAACACAAAATATTAAGAAATGTAGGTTAAATGGTTAAAATTACTATGAAAAATATTATTCTACATTCATTTTTTGTGATATTCTTTGTATTTTGAAAAATGAACTTGACATAAAAAGCCTGAGGTTACTTAAAGTTTGCTTTTTAGTGGACTCAAGCAAATATTTATATTAAAAGTTAATATATATATTGAAGCAATATTAATTATGAGAGTTATGTTCAAAGAATGCTATAGTAAATAGAGTAAAAATTGTATCTGTTATATATTGAGTGATGAAATTAGCATAGTAGAAAAAACATTGAGTGTTACATGTTCACAAGGGTTTAGCAGAAACAATTATTATTAGTTAAGAATAGGTTAGTCAAATAAAGATCATTAAGTGTTAACAATGGTATAGCAGAAATAATAATTATGTATTGAGAAAAGCACAGTAGAATAAAGACCACTATCTATAAACAATGGAATAGTGAAACAATAATTATGTATTGAGAAAGAAGGCACAGTAGAATAAAGCTCATTAAGTTTTAACAATGGTATGGCAGAAATAATAATTGTGTGTTAATAAAACCATAGTAGAATAAAAACCACTAAGCGTTAATAGTATAGCAGAAATAATAAATATGTGTTAAGATAAACATAGTAGAATAAGAAAACACTTAATATTAGTGTTAACGATAATGTAACAGAAACATAATGATGGTGAGTTAAGTCTCATAAACAAGACTCCCAAGTGTCAAATATTAAAACATTAGACCAGCTGAATAGATATTTTGGAAAAGTATGGTATTATATTTCAAAGTTAATGAAAATATTACATCTGCTTAGTTTTAGTTTTTTTCTTTTTATTTCATATTTCAATATTCTAGATGTGTTTATATATCTGTATGTTTTCATCTACAGTCTACCCTTGAGGTTTTGGGTGAACTTCATTAAAAACCCAGATTTTATCTTGGACATCAACAAAACTCCTCTGCTTGATTCCTGCCTCTCAGTCATTGCCCAGGCTCTCATGGATGCATGTTCTACCTATGAACATAGACTTGGAAAGGTAAATTAAAAGTTTCTTTGAAATATTATAGGTGAACAGTGAAAATTATCTCATTGTAAATAAATGAGGTTTGAGTAGAAGAAGTTGACATCTAAACTAGGGTTTGAGCAAAACTAGACAGTACCTCAAATGAGATTTGAGTGAAGTTTTATATATAACAGAGGTTTGAGCATGATGAGTGGATACCTTGGCTAAAGTTTGAGCAAAAGGAGTTGACATTTAAACTAAAGTTTCAGGAGGAAGAGTTAATACCTATAATGAGGTTTAAGCAGAAGTTGACACCTAAAGTTTAAGTGGAAGGAGTTAATATTTAAACTAAGGTTTCGGCAGGAAGAGTTATTATGTAAATTGAGGTTTGAGCAGAAGGAGTTGATACCTAAACTAAGGTTTAACAAAGAAAGGGTTGAGAGATAAATTGAAATTTAAGCATGAGAGAGAACTTCATACTAAACTATTGTATTATGCAGTTAGTTCATACATAAATTATTGCATTATGTAATCACAAATAAACCAGAAACAAAGTTTATAGCATTGAAGTGTACATTCATGAAATTGCTCTCCAGTATTTTTGTTACTTTCTGGAATTTCTTTGATCTCAAATAGACCAGAATTGCAATTATTTAATATTTTAGTAACAATATGGTTCACATCTCAAATGTATTACCATTTTGAGGCTGCATGTATATATTATTCAAATGATTAGTTATTGTCGAAAAAGTATGTTATCTTATCTGTGCATACGGATATATTTGCTGTTTTCTTGCTGCATCATAACTAATAAACTTGGAGGGCAGTTGACTTAATTAAGCTTTGACCTCAATTTGCTTACCATTTTAAATGTGCACAGCAGCAGCTACTGTCTCCTACAAAAATTATACTTATAGTACGCAACTATTATAGTACCAATGTCTATCATATTAGCACATGCTGCTTTGTAAAATTTCATAATTATGTGAAAACTTGTGTTAATCATGTGTCTTTTATAGCTAAATTCATTTTGGCCATATCTTGAAAAATTCTAAGATGATTCATGTTTTATTAAAATTCTAAGTTATGTTCAACAATATTAAGATATTGTTGAACATTATCAGAATGAAATAACCGTTACTCCCCACTTTAAAAATCTTAAAAATTCTATATATATTTACGTTTTTTTTGTATCTGTATTATTAAACTTTTTGTTTTCATACACTACCTTAAAACAAACTTCCACTTTTTGCATGTATTATAAAATTCTTTGTTTCCATAGGACTCACCTTCAAATAAGCTACTATTTGCCAAGGATATTCTTTCTTACAAGAAGATGGTGACAAAATTCTATGAAGAGGTAGCATTGTTACCTGCCATCACTGATCAAGAGATTAGTGCCAATATGCAGAGGCTTTCAGTGGTGAGTTAATCATTTAAATTACAAACAGTAATAATCATTAAAACGTTGAAAAGTTTCTTAAGATGAAAAGCAAATATGTTAATATGATATACATTAAGAATTGTTAACAGATAAAATTAGTGTGTTTCAGTTGCCCTTTACCAATGTGTTTATGTGTGTGTGTCACTTCTGCTGTTCAGTAAACCAATGAAAACAATGTTAAGAAACCTGTTGTGTAGACCGATTTGACGCTGTGAAAAATAACATACACAGTCTTGTTATGATGACATCATGGTCACAATACATGGTACCCATGGCTATAAATGTCATTGTCCAAAATATATTTAATCAGCATTGAACAAATAGTTTCAATGGGTACATTATCTTCTGCATGGTCAAATTTATATACACACCTGTAATTAAGGTAAATAAGATAATGACCTATATCTCCAGAATGTATCTTTATTAGTTCACTATTTTGCTATTACAGCTTTGTCAGGAGCTATTGGTATTCCACTGAACTTGTAGGATATCAATATCCTCTGATGAAGCTTTAATAGCAAAATATTGAACTAATAAAAATACATTATTTTATTTACCTTAATAGAAATGCCTCGTAATAAACTCCAGTTTGCTTTGAACAAAGTTAAGAATAATAGTGATCTACACAGCAATTTTCACAACATTGTGTACACTGCTTTTTTGAATGCAATCATGTAAATGCATGTGAGAACACAATCAAAATATTACTTAATGCGACCAGGCATGGGCTAGTGGTTATTGTGCCTGGAGTTTGAATCTGAGGATTCATGGTTTGCAACTATGCACTCTGCACTTTGGGGTCGTTGATTTACAATCAGAGTAATGGTAAAATCCCCTATTTGATCAGAAAAGATTACCTCAAGAGTTGGTGGTGGGTGCTGTTGATTTGTAACCCCTTTAGCCCTTTTTTAACTTTGTGCAAAATTCTGAAACAAACAAATTAATGCTATTATAATAACTAATGCATTATATTTTTGCAGGAACATCATGGAGAATTTGACACTATGAATGCAGTAAAAGACCTCTACATCTATGTTGAAAAATACATACAAGAGGTAATTCTGATTAACACCTTTTATTAACTCTAAAATACTAAAAAAAGGCATTGTATCAAATAATGTGCAAGATTTAGATGAAAATAAAATTATTTTACGGTATTTTATTTATCACTAGAAAAGTATGTAGATATTGGATTTAGTTATTTATCATTGTTTATGTCTTTAAAAAAATAGTATTTTATTATATGATTAACTCAAATATTACATTTAATCTAGTGATAATATTTGAAGCATGTTTTTAGAGATTACTTAGAAATATCTTGATAAAGATTGCATTTTAAATTAAGATTTAACATTTCCTGAAATATAATTTGAATTGTATTTTTTCTTTTTTTTTTGTATTTAGATCTGTGAAGCTCTAAAGGCTGATCCTACATGTATTCAGGCTCATCTAGCACAAAAACTTGAAATGGTAATTTGTGCTTTGCAAGGAGAAGAAACTTCCCTGTGTTGAAGAAAAATATATATAACAGTAGTTTATTAAAGGGTGCCAAAAACAATAAATCGAGCTTCAGGAGTGTTTCACAGAGATGGTGGAATGTTTTATTTATCTGTGGAATCAAAACCATCATACCAGTAGTATGGATGGCAAACTATGCAAACTACACTGAATATAAGTGTAAAGGTTCACATGGAAATTATGATATAACATAAAAAAGATGTTTCACAATGATATAAATATACTCAAACTTGCTAGTGCTTACATCCATGTAAAGAGTCGATGAACTGAATCTTGTCAGCAACATTCCAGTAGCAGAAGGCCAAAGAATCCATTGATATTGACTCTCCTAAGTGAGATCAATAAGTAGATGTTTTTACCATTTTTCTTGACCTCATTAACATTAATGTATGTTTGTAAAATAACTGCCAGTGCCTGTTCGAAAACACAGGGTTTTCTTAATTTAATGGACATGGGAAGAATGTTTGTATATGTATATATATAGATATATATTAATGTACATCAAATCTGTAGATTTGGAATAATGTGATGACAGGGGCTAAGCGAAGTCAAACTTGAAGGGATTTCCTATGCAGCATTACAGTTCAATAGGACAGAATATTTTTAGACTGGTGTTTTAGAATGTGGGAAAATGGGTATGTATGTGTTAAGAAGGTTTTTTCTTGTTTTTATAAAAGAAAGGACTTTTTCATTTTAAATGTCTTGTTGTTCTTGTATAGATTAGGTTAATAAGATAATAATACCTTGTGTAATTAAATAGAATCATACAACTAGTTTTTGCCTGTGATACGCTTTTTGGTTTTATTTTAAAGTGTAGCTATTGTTGAAGAGAGTTGTTCTCACAAAATTATCTCATCCATTCTGTAATTTGAGATAATTCTTTTACAAAGTAATTGAACATTATGGTGTGTCTTTAAATATTATAAGTTAAAGCATGCTTTACAAAATTTTAATTATTCAGTGATAGTTTACCTACATGATTGACTGATGGTGTTTTGTATTGACCATTATGATGATAGGCAACCTTAATCAAGTTTTGTGCATTTTTTTATTTGGTATTTATTGCAAGCTTCTATGTACCTGTGTGTGAACTTCTCGCTAAAATATTATACTTACATTTGTAAAAAAAAAATTGTGTCTTTATGTGCACATGTACTTAACTGATGTATACATTGAACAGTAACTTGTTTCAAAAAGTAGGGTTTGTTTTGCTTTGCTTCCGTACTTTGTCAGGTATTTTTCTACCGACAGGTAATTCTGTAACTGTACTGACAAACAATAAAATATTGGTTAAACAAAGTTACTGGATAGAATGTATTGCTTTTTTTTAATAGTGTGATTTCAACATTTTTATTTGTATTCATATAGTTACAATTATATAAAGAAAAGAAAAAGCACGATGTTTAGAGATTTTGATTCAAAGGCAGTTAATAATTGTATCTAATAGTATGTTCACTTTTCTTATACGTTACAGATACACATGCTCCATACAGCGAATGATGTATGCTTCAAGTAAACAGACAGTATTGTGCAATGCATTGGGTTAGTTATCCTTCTCACAGTTTTGCTCTTAATCCCATAATTAATGAAACTGTTCCCATTTTGAGCATAAGTTGTTACTTACGAACACAAAAATTATACCATTCAACTTGTCTTTATGGTGTTGCAAGACATGGAACTAATTCTTCACCTTGCAGTGACAATTATGAGGTTTGGGCACTCTGCTAAAACTATGAAGCTGCTGAACAAAACTGTTTACATGCTAGCAACAATACAAGTACAGCCACAAGTCAGTTGGGCAAAAATGTTTACATGCTAACAACAACAACACAAGTACAGCCACAAGTCAGTTGGGCAAAAATGTTTACATGCTAACAACAACACAAGTACAGCCACAAGTCAGTTAGACATAATTGTTTACATGCTAGCAACAACACAAAGACCACCTTCGCAGCTAGGAAACCTAGCAACCCCACCGTTGCAGTAAAGTGAAGACTTGTCCAACGTTGCTACTCGAAACACGGTCGAGGGATAAACCTGATCTTTTGAATAATTCAGTTCGCGATTCAACTTAACAAAGTTCTTTTTTTTTCTTTTTTTATACACGTTGTAGGGAATTCACTGTTGGACACTGTCACTTGTTAAATAATAGTCTTGATAGATTCGTTAATTTTCATGTAATAGCAAGAGTAATCCAAGGAAGTTACATTAATTATAATAATACAGCTAAATCTAGACTTATTTTTGTATTGTACAACTTTTTTTTTTATTAATTTTCACATAAATAGAAATTATGAACATATTGCCTACGATACTACATAACTTTTAAACCAACTTTTATTATAATTTATATGACGGAATAGATTAAAGTTTGTTTGCTTATTTGTTATTTAGCACAAAGCTAAGCTACACAATGATCTACCTGTGTTGTGCCCACCACAGGTATCGAAACCTGATTTTTAGCGTCATAAACCAGAGATTACCACTGAACCATTGTGGGCGATAAACTATGTATGTATTACTTACTGGCCTTTCTACAGGAATAACAGTGGGCATGAAAAATGATCTATAGAGTCCTGAAACTGCCTTCAATATAGAATTTTATATATGTACGTTCCCTGTTCATTAAAAATAATGATTATTTTCCAAGTTAACGCACAAATGTCCTCTAATAATTGCATTCAGTTTTATAGTGTTCGAAACAAGGGTGTTCTGCGAACGAATGCCTGAAGAACTATCGCATAAATTCAACAACTTTGGTGTTATAGAAGTAAAGCTTCTCGGTGAGAATACAAAGAACCTTCATTCCGAAATCCGGAAGCATAAATGTTTAGGTAAAGAAGGACTAATTAAACAAATAGACAATAAATAAACAAGGTAAATTTGTTAGGCTTAACAACAAATTTTCTCACCAGAGGACGTGAAGAGGGGGGGGGGGGGAGAAATTAGAGAATTGTACTAGGTTATGGTACCGTGATCAAATTTCAGGATATATATATATAAAACGGATAGTATCTGTGGTAATAGCACCCAAATATATATATACAAACTATACACAGAATTAGTTTTTATTCGAAAGGTAAGTACCATATAAAATATTAGTACACCTTGGGATAGATTTTATAGTTTTTTATAAGTTGGAACTACTATGCAGAGTTTAATAAATTAATCAAAAAACAGCAACTCAATAGCTATAATGTAATTCCAGTTCTCTGCTGTATTATTATTATTTTATATTTATCGTTCAAAAATGAACAAAGCATTATCTAACGAGAAAACAAAACTATCAGAGATTTTTCAATAAATAAACGATATTTTCTTTCCTATCCGTTGGATATGATTAAATTATTACTAGTGAATGATTGTACTATGTTAATACCCACCCGTTCGCTGATAGCGACTCGTGTCGATAGACGGCTTGCAAACTCGTAAAATGGCAAGAGCGAGTGGCATTGGCTTTTAACAACGTGCTGTAATAAAGTTCTTAACTCGTAGCTCTAATCTAGCACTTTATAACTTACATCTTATGGTTGCCTCAAGAATGATGATAGGCGTGAACAACTTGTCCAGACAAATGATATTCTAAATGCAACTGAATTATTAACATTATATTTGCACTAACAGAGACTTGCGAAACATTTACAGTCAAACTAGTATCTTTATTGCAGAACTACTTGTTTAAGTACAGGACTTCTAGAATAATACTAAAGATTTCTAAACGTATACACTGAAATCTGTAAGACCACTTGTCATAGGCCTAACATTAGTTAATCCTTTATTTTGTTTGTTTGTTTTTGAATTTCGAGCAAAGCTACACGAGGGCTATCTGCGCTAGCCGTCCCTAATTTAGCAGTGTAAGACTAGAGGGAAGGCAACTAGTCATCACCACCCACCGCCAACTCTTGGGCTACTCTTTTACCAACGAATAGTGGGATTGACCGTCACTGTATAACGCCCCCACGCGGCTGAAAGGGCGAGCATGTTTGGTGGGACGGGGATCCGAACCCAATCCTTTATTTATTCGATGAAGAGATAAATTAACACTGTAACTAGTGTACGTTTTTTGCTTTAGTTTGGTTAAAGCAAAACTTTACCGTACTTAATAATATTAATAAATAAACGTATAACGTTATTCTAAAACCTAAAGTTTGACCTTTTTAAAAACTGATAAGCTTTTAATACGTTGTTGTACAAACTGTCTACTGAAGTATATTTTCATTCACCGTTTATTTACATCTGTTGAAATAGATTGAAGAATTTCATAATTGATGGAAGAAATGCGTAATACTTAACGGAACATATGTCGAGAAATCGTATCAAGTTTGCACATTCTCAACATCATTGCTGTATATTTATTAATTATAATCTGACGTGGTTGGCCTCCAAGAAATATAATTCAGTTTTTCCATGAACACTCAACATAAATAAAATAATAATGCTCACGATAGCAAATTTTTAATTCAACAAATGTTTTTTGATCGAATAATGAAATGTTGGAAATATTTAAAACTATGATTCTTGAAGAACGAAATTACACGATAGAAAATTTAATTAATTTCAAAATCGTCACGACAATCACGACAAGAAATGAATGATTTAAATCCAAACAACTTTTAATGTAAATGCAATTTCAAGTATTTCTGATTACAAAACTAGACTTAAGTTTAGAAATAGGCAACAGAGTGATCTAGGTTTACCTTTGCAACCATATTGTTTTTCTGCACTTTAAAAAAATGGGCACGTCTATTCAGACTATTACTTAAAAATTACGTGTCAGATGATTATTTGCTATGATTGTTGAAATAACATTTTTATACTCTAATGATAAAAAGTTCCCAGTTAAAGCAACAGAAGAATAATCACAATTACATTAAAATTGTTCGATAGAACATCACTATTATTGTGAAAGTGGTGTAAGGCCACAGAAGAGAATCTTGAATTGAAGTAAACAATTGATAAAATGTAAGTAAAAAAATCGAACAATAAGCGGCAGTGTTGTTAGTTTTTGTTTTCGTTTTTAGTTTACTTACCGATTATAAATATTAATTCATTACAAATTACAGCTTTTACAGTAAAGAAGAAGATTTTTAAAAACAGGTACGACGTTTCGACCATTGGAAATATTCTCAAGTACACAAATTTTAACGCAAAAACGGTTAAAACTTGTGTACTGGTTCATTTACTGATTAAGTACTTGTGTCTTTAAATTCAAAACTAAAAGTATATGAAAAAATCGGAAATGTACCCTATTTCATGTTTAAATATTTTTTATTCGGTTTCTCGGGCGAAAATTCTAAACAAAATAGCCCAAATACACCGTCAGGCAGTATCCATTTACCATACCAAACATCACGGTAATCGAGGCAGCTAGCTAACTGTGGGTGATGTGAGCCAAAAGTGTATATATAAAAAAAAGTGGAAATTGCGAATTTCAGGTTGTTGTTTTTTTTTATCCAGTTACCATACAACAAATTACGGTAATCAAACCAGACAACTCTTGGTGATGGATGATAACACACACACAATGATGATCTTTATAGCAAATGCAATTCCTGGCTTGACCCTCCTAATTTATTTAAAAGAACAACTTGTAGTATTCTGGGTTAAAAGAAAGAATGAAACCAGTAATACAGTTAAGTTGATCAGATCAAATTTATTACAGTACATCGTAGAGAGAACAAAAAGCAGACATACATATGGTTTTGTTTTCAGTATTTAATTTTGTCTCCATATATTTATAAATATAAAAAAAAAACAGCAACTGTAAATCAGGATTATTTTCCTTTACATATGGAATAGTTTAAAACCAAGCAGAAGCATATTTACTAATCTACATTTCTAAATTACAAATTAATCTGGTGTACTAAATAAAATGTTCCCGTTTTAATCCATATTATCCCTTTACATCTAAGGTAACAAAATAAAACTTTAATACAAAAATACCTCATACAACATATCATCATAAAAGGTTAACGAATATTTCAGCCTGTGTTTGATACTGAGAAAAATTCAGAATAAAACACTATTATGCTTGAAAGTGCAAGAATATGTAACCAGAACAAAAATCATAACTAGATATAAATTTTTAATATGAGAGTAAGATTTCTTTAGAATAATATACCCAATTTTGATAACTCTTACAAATACTCGTGTGTAAGTACGTAATTTTTTATGTCAAAACTAATTTGGAAGCTTAATCATAGGGAAACTATTCCCTAAAATACCCTGTTTTATATTGGAAGGATTTGATTATTTAATCTTGAAACTGGGGGTTCGTGCTGGCCTTAAAAATCACATTCCGTG